ACTGGTCGCGTAGGATGTCCACATTCCATGGTTCCAGAAGTTGAGTTTTTGCATGCGCACATGTGATGAGGCTAAGCTGGCGAGTAATTAAACTGCGAAGTTCCCCCCTTCTCTTGCTTTCTTGTTCATCACACTTCCACATCCTTATTTACCAAAATTCATGGTATTGTTTCTGATGGGTGCTCTGCCCTCCTTCTTTTCGAAAAGATCACCAGTTGCCACCGTTCTTCCAGGCTCCTTTCGAAAAGTGCAGGCACAACAAGTTTATGTCGTCCTCTCCCTGTCGCCGGCTTCAAAACAAATTCACAGTTAACACATGGACCGAGAACCCTCCTTCGAGTACAAGTCGAGACAATCCGGAACACCATTTATGTTTCCTGCTTCGACACTGAGGCCAGATTTCACCAAAATCGATTTCGAAAGCTATCTATGTCCGCTCTTTCTTCCGGCTTCCTGTTTCTCGAAACTTAGGCGCAAAGGGCCTATGCCGGGTCTTTCTCCGCCATCACCGTATCCGCCGACGTCCACTTCGCCAAATACTCGGCTCGTCTCTCGAAACTTCTATCAAAAAAGCGTACGTCCGGCGCCTTCTGCGTTTCGAAACTACACATCAACAGCGGTATGGCGGTGTCGTCGCTGTGTGAACTCAAAACATCGAAACACATACTTCATGGACCTCGCCGTCCGGATACCGAAACGGATTCCACATGTTGGCATGCTTCTCTGCTCCGGAGCGCCAAAGGTATCTAACAAAACACTGGATGGCGCCTGCTTTCGGAACTTCGAAAACTACATTCTTGAAACTCATGGGCTGAGCTGAGCCTTTACACACCTCACCACGACATTGCCCGGTGTTCCCGTCCGACCTCAACAAGAGTGAGTGGGCTGTCTGCCGAGCTCCAGCAGTTCATCTTCGAGCACTCATACCACTATCTGCTTGTTGGACTTCGAAAACAATATTCACGGTACTCATGGGCTGGGCCCTTACACACCTCACCACGACATTGCTCGGCGCTCCTGTCCGAAAAGACGAATTTTCTTACCGATGGTGCGCGGCTGTCTGTCCAGCTCCAGCAGTTCATCTTCGAGCACTCGTACCACTGGCGCCCACGTTGCCATCGAGGGTACAGCTCGATCTGTCTGAAAATACAACTCCGAAATTCTGCATGGTTTTCTCCGCCGAAAAGTCCAAGCATCTCACGAATGAGTCGAGATCCAAGGATGCGCGGGTATATAAACTTCCCTCGGCGCCGCTGTTCTTGTCTTCTTCAATACACACACCGGTTCTTGTTTACCAAAATTGGAATTCGGGCTTCGAATGGCCGCTGCCTCCTCCTCCAAAAATCCAACAAAAAGCTGAAATTAGAGATCGCTCTTCCTGCCTCTTCTTCCAAAAGTCACCATGACACGAGCGATGTGCGAGTGTGCCTCCGGAAACGCCTAACGATTACGACGATGTGCAGAGAAGGCCTCACGCTTCTAAATCAGCAGCACCTCCCGCCATGGTGCCTGTCGTTCCGGCACCTCAAGCCTACTTGTAACTCACCAGTTCAAAAAGCCTCCGGAACATCGCGATGTGTTCGGAAACCCCTCGGGAGGTACTGGAAAGAACAAACGTACGCGCAGTTGTCACCATGTACTATCCGCCCTCCTCGGCTTGCACTAGACGATGCGACGCGTATAAACATCGCTCTGGAAGTAGACATGGTGTCTCCTATCATCCACATTCAATTCGTGGACTCCAAAAAGGACAGGGATTGTTTCCATGGGGCTCTCCCGCTGGCCTCCTCCAAACAAAACAGATGCTTCACCCCCAATGGAGACGATGAACCGAAAGTCATTCAGCCATCATCAATGTCCGGTGTCTTGCTGCCTTCTCGAAAATTAGACAAACGATCCAATATGTCGCTTTCCGGCGTCTGCGCTATCCAAAACGACTTTCATCGACAAACATGCCGTCGCTGGAACAAGACTATGAACTTCCAAATGTGTCAGCTCTCGGCTTCCAGCTCAACAGTACACCCAAATCAAGAAGTCTTTCTTCCAGCGCGGAGAAACCCGCTTCGACCTCGGCGGTGGTGTTGAGGCTTTCAAGAGTGTCTTCTTCCATCGACAACACGCAACTCCACCTATGTTTCACCAAAACATTAACCACCGTTACCCATAGGGTCTGGTTCTTCTGAAAGAGGAGATCCAGTCTGACATGACCTTCCGACTCAAAACGCGACACGATTTGTTTATGTGTGCGCTCCGACTCCGGCATACAAAAACACAAATGTCGCTTGTTTTGTTTGCTATGGAGGAAACCGTAAAGCCGTTTTCTTTACATGAAAAGATTTGGACATCAATGTTATGGTGTGCTGCTTTTGGTGGGATGGGTCGCCAACGGCACCTTCTGGCGTGCTCAAGAGCTCACCCGCGCTATTGGCCAAGTCTTCAACTGTAACCCGCCCCCGTTCGATGGATTCCTGCGCTACTCGAAAGATGAGGACGGTTAGGCATGAATTTCTGGTCTGGAGGACCGTGGGTGTGAGTGGATGCTAGGGTTCTACTTCGATGTATATAAAAGGGTCGCTGTGTTCACTTTGTACTATCAATATACTTTATCTGCTTTTAACGTACACCAAAACGACGGGAGAAAAAGGCTATGGCGTTCTGCTCTTCTCGAAAACGCTATGGTAGATTTCGATGGCTTCTCGGCCTGGGGCGTTGGCATATTCGATAGATGGCATAGTTCAAATTCAACTCATATCCAAAATACACAATCATCTTATTACATGGCTACAATCCTATGTGATCTTTCCTCTTATTGAACATCGCATGCGTTCGCCTACTGGCTTGCTGCTCTTCTCAAAGGTCTTGTTCCAACGCTTGACGGCGTCTCGGAACGAAACAATACTTCACACCGTGGATGGTAGAGTGCGACATCGCCCTCAAATATAAAGCCACTTTTGTTCTTGCCTTCTTTCTTCTGTACTACCACACATTTTTAATGCCCATAAACCAAAAATCGAATGCTCCTCTACTATGGCTTTGCGCACTTCGTTCAAAAATTGGTGATTTCATGAACCATGACTGTCCGACCCAAAAGCATCGAGGACCGTATCGATGACGAGGCTCCACTTCGGCCTCAAACATAAAGCCCGCCGTCTTCTCGCTCCCTCCCTTAACTGCCACTCCGCACTTCTGCTTTGTGTATACCAGATCTAAGATGATTGTGCCACATGGTTTCCGGATTTCTTCCCAAAACTATCGCATCATTGTCCAATGACCTGAAAACACGCCGGATGAAGTCCAGAGTACTGCGGGGCTGATAAAGCCACGTCAGAAATCCAAAAGGTGAGCGAAAGCGACGGATGTTGCCGTGTGTCGACTCCCGAAATCATGGAACCCGGAGCACATGATGGATGCTGGTATCGAGGAGTGTATATACCGTATCCCCACTTTGTTTCTGATATAAAAGCCTCATTACTCCTCACTCTTCTCTTCCGCCACAACACACTTCTATCATTTAAAAATACCAAAATCGAACGGGGTTGCAATGATGGCTCTCTGGTCTTCTTCGTTTTGTCCAAAACAAAAAAGGCGGTTTACAATGACTATGTGCTCGGCGGAAGACTTGGACATCGTCAAAACCGGTCGAACTTTTATACCAGATCCTAAAAACAAAGTCATCAGATACCCACATGTCAATCGGCGGTGAAAAGCGAGCAACAAAACCAACACCATATGCGGCGAGACGTACCAGAAAAAGTCCCCAATACATCTCATGTGCGGTTCGAAGTCCTCAAAGACTTATATCCTCGGTGTATGAGCGCGCAGCGGGAGGACTGTATATATAAACTTCCTATTTTCGCTGCCTGCTTCTTCTTTATCCATACATTCCTGTTCTGCATATTTAAAGCGTGGAAATGATGATGCATGGCGGCCGGCTTTCTCGTCTCCAAAACACAAATGAAACCAGCATATTGTGTGCTATTCGAAATTGCCAAAAGCGTTTACGTTCAAGTTGATGAGCGGCCATCGGGAGGAGTGGATACATATTTCCCCTCTTCGCTGCCTCTTTCCCCTTTATCCACACGTTCCTGTTCCGCCTATCCAAAAACTCAGAACATAAGAATGATGGCAGCCGTATTGCCGGTCTTCTAAAAGAAATTGGATCAGCATTATCCTGTGCTGCTGGAAGTCTCCGAAATCGCAAAGCCACATCTTTATGAGCACGCAGTGAGCGGGGTATATATAAACTTCCCCTTTGCGCCGTGTCCTTCCTTCTCATCTACACATTGCCAATTCCGCATGCTCAAAAAGCTCTGGAGCATGAGTATATGGCGGCTGTCTCTTCCGTCTCCTGAAGAAGAGAGGAAACAAATCGACGGACTGCTTGCTGGCTTCGCTGCGATCAAAACGGGCGTTCAAGATCGTGATGAAAGCGACGAAGCTGTCCAAAAAATGCTATGCGATGAACTCATGGCCAGAACTCCGGTCCGGGTGATTCAAAATACGGCTTCCTTCGCGACACATGAGTGCGTTGGGAGTGTTGAAAGACTACACCAATGTCTTGATGCTTGTCTCGTTCTGGGATTCGTTTGCTGCGGGTGTATAAAGCCTGGCTCACATATCGTTCTCTCCTCCTTGAATCACCTACGCTGTTCTTCTTCAAATTAAAACTGCGGTCAGTTGATGTCATGTTCTTTTGTGTCTGGTCTCCTAAAAGTAGCAGACAGCAACAACGTGCGTGCGAAAGGTATCGAAGGAGAGGTTTTTGGGGGCGCGAGTCTTCTACCAAGCTATTGCTGTCACTCAAAGGCTGGAGTCAGAAGTGATGTCGTTACCCTGCTTTGTTAGGGCTAGCATACAGGAAGACATCGAGAAGAACACGCGTGTATTGCCCGGGCTCAATCGAATGCTTGTATTACGTTGACCCGATCTAACGTGAGGTCGTTCTCGTCATCTTATCTGGCTCATTCCATCGTCATTACTACCGCACCCTCGCGTCCCTGTTAACCCTGCATCTCAATTCCTCCACTCCCATGGATTACCTCACCCGTACAATAACTGCCCAACGGACTAGCAAGATGCACATAACACGTCGCCATCTCGACCGGCATACCCGGGCGATTCAGCGGGCAAGCACCTACACCCAAGCTGTCCATCGCATCCGCCGGGTTGTTCTTCGTCGCCGGCTGCAGCGGCGTCCAAATGATGCCCGGCGCAACAGCGTTAACACGGATACCATTTGGTGCTTGCTGCTGCGCAAGACCGCGGGTGAAAGTTACGATGGCGCCCTTCGTGGAGGCGTAGTCGAGGAGCATGGGGTTGGACATGTAGGATGCGACTGAAGCGCTGTTTACGATGCAGTCGCCGCGCTTCATGTGTTTGAGCGCGTATTTGGACATGGCGAACATGGAGATGACGTTGGTGTGGAAGGTCTTTTCGGTTACGTCCAGGTCGATTTCGGTTATGTCTGTGCAGGCTTCTTGCATGGCGGCTGTTGTATCATTAGTTTGGATTGGTGATGTGAATGAAGTAACGTGATCTTACCGTTGTTGACAAGTACGTTCAGCTTGCCGAAGACCTTCATGTGTTGCTCAACGGCTTGCTCGCAGTTCTTCCTCTCTCGCAGGTTGAGTTGCATGAGGTTTGCTTTGCGGCCGGCTTCTTCGATCTTCTTCTTGACGTATTGCGCATCCTCCTCCTCTTCGGGCAAGTACACGATGCTGACATCGGCGCCTTCTCTTGCGAATAGGATCGCTACAGCGCGTCCGATACCAGAGTCTCCGCCTGTGACCAACGCGGCCTTGCCTTGCATCAGACCACGGCCTTCATATTCCTTAAGGTAGGGTTTCTGGTTCTCGTCCCAGAACTCGAGACGCGACCATTCTGCTTTTTGATCGGTCTTTGCGTCTAGACCAGGGCCGCCTTCTTGGTTTTGAGGTGTGATCTCTGTGGCAGGGTATGCGGTAACTGGGCCCTTGTTGTCGCTCATCTTGAAGGTAGTGTGACTAAAGGTACGTGTAATTGGCCTGAATAGGATAGAAGAGGTGATTGGCTTCCGGAAAACAAAGTTCGAAGATCTGATGATGGTTGTTTTGAACATCTCTGTCGATCGGGGGGTAGTAATTGTAGGGGCCAGTTTTGGTGGGGTTGGGATTTGATGCGATCGTCATCGAGCGTCATCGTTGGAATTCAACACCACGTCACGACGCTGAGTCTGGACTGAGGCTTTTGAAATTGTTCATTAACCGGTGCATAGAACTGCGATAACGAGCACACCAGGTGTGCATGGGTTTACCCATCTGATTGATGGATGTCGCGTTCTCTGCTCCAAACGCGTCTGAGCCGCTTCCCAGGTGTGCGTGCGTGCACAGATCATCCACGTCGGAAGAGCAACGACACGCTCACAATCGAGGAGAACCTTGGACGAACACCTGCTGAAGGGACGAGGGCCAAGAGTATCGGGTCCGGGACGTATAAGGATATAGTAACTGGAAGATACACCAGCGACCAATCTTAACTCCCGCATTCAAGCTTCTTTTGCGAAGCTACCTAGGTGATCAGGCCTGGAGCATCATTCTTGCCCCCAGCCTCCCGTCGGCAAGGGTGTAACGAAGGCTTGCACGTCCATGGAATGATGATAAGGTCTTGTTGATGCAGGTCGGTCACCGCAGCTCTTCGACTACCCGACGTCTCGCGTTCCAACCTAGGCGCGGCCAAGCGTCCGCTAACTTTCACGCAAGCTGAATTTTCTCATGACCAGTCTGCGCAGTGGCAGGCCGACGACAGCATTTCGAAACTATGTGCCGCGCATTTCATGCTGCTTGAAGAGAACAGAGGAGAAGATGGAGAGTTTCAGGGTCTTGGAACCTTCGTCATGATTCCATTGGAAGGGGGCGCCAGGGCCCTTTCAGGATTAGTTCGACGACCTTACCCCACCGCCCCTGATCCGTGCCGCCTTCCGCTTCCCGTCTCATCTCACCGTTTGTTCTCCAAGTACTCTGCATCAACGCAGACCCAACCGCATTGTCTGTGATCTTTGTGAATACTTGGAAGTGCTTCTCGAACAACATTACTCTCTTCAATCGCCATGGACCCATCACTCGAAAGTGATGTACTAAACCGAAGATCGTTAATTCTAACGTACCGAAATTACAAAAACGACACGGAGTACATCGCTGGTTGGCTCGCATAGACATCGGAAAAATGCGGATACATCAGAGCTATCACCGAGCCTGAGCCTCAGCAGAAAGCGCCGCGGAAGAGGGGAAAGGCAGGCAAAGCTCGTAAGCCAGCCAAGAAGACGCCGGATCCTGTGACCCCAGCTCAATATCCCATACGCGTCTCCGAGTTTGTAGAGATGGCTGAACACATTGCTTCATTTGATCCCAAGATCGAAGTCCCAGCTGCGCTACAAAAAGTTTTTGACCGAGTGATCTTAGCTCGGAGCAAAGTGGCTAGTTGGTTCGAGAGAGGGCACTCAACCGATTACGTCAACAACCACAGGCACTCCTACTTTATCACCGTTCTGGAAAAGGCGGCAAAACTGCTGAAGCCTCTGATACCAGAGACGCCAGTAGTTTCTGAGAACATCAAGCTACAAAACAGGTTCGCCGGGCTTACGGTCGAAGAGACGGACCCACTGGACGAACTCATCACCGAAGTTAAGGAGAAGCAATTGCCCAAAGTCGACCCTATCCCGATTGAGCAAGACGAGGAGAGTCTCGAGCACGACTTCTTCTTCGCTATCGCGACATTTCTTGAGGAGATCTACGACGTGCGAGCATGGATTGTGCGAGAGTGGGATGAATATCGGCAGACAGGTGAAGGTCTCACACGCGCGGCAGTGCTTTCCAATACGGCCGTCGATCTGGTGCGATCTGCTGAGAATCAATTCGATCAGATGCTCGTTCGTCCCAAGAAGTAAGGCTAAGCCATTGTAGTGCCCGTATACACAAGCTGACGGAGATGATTAGATACCCCGCCAAGGATTACCCTGTTTGGACTCTTCCGGCACTGCTCTACGCTCGCATGCACGATTTCTTTTACTACGGCGATGTCAAAGACAATGTCGATAAACTCGTCAAGCCGTCTATGAGAATCCAGACAAACGATCATTTGTGCGAGCAGGGAACATATTGCATGTGGCACGTCTATAGCGGCCTAAAGGTATATTTGTTATCACAGACGGGCCCACTTCACACTCGACAATCTCACATAACGCGAGAGTCATTCGCTAGTGACGCAGACAAAATGGCGCTGGAGGTCTTTGAGACCCTAGAATGGGCTCAGTTCTTCGACGCCGCAAGTCATCCCCATCTGTCTCATTTCGCCGTTGACGAGACTGCTCGGGGTATCAAACACATGATAACTTTCAAAGAGATTCCTATATGGCTCACTGTAGCGGTACAGATGTTCTTTGACGTTGATTCGGTGTTTCAAGAGGAGGGCACGCTTGCAGCGCCTTTCCGCGAGTACAAAGAGACCGTTCGTAAAGCCGCGAAGGATTTCTTCAAAATTGATCCTATCGAGCGGCCGTTCAAGGGATCTGCGGATTCCGACAAAAAGATAGCCTCGATCTATCAGAACATGCGTAATATCTTGAGCGATCATCAAGACTACGCGATTCGTGATCGCTGGAGAAGATTCATCCAGAAGATCAAGGAGGACAAGCATGAGCCACTGAGTAAAACTGTAGACGAGCGGGATTACGGTACGTTTGGATCATATTGGTGTTACAAGAGGGCTAAAACTAACTTGCGACAGTCTTGAAAAGGCATCCGCTCCGCTGCGGGCTTCTGAAGTACGAACTACAGCTACAGCTTAATCACAGAGCTTCCAAAATCGAGCATATGGCGGGCGACATTCATTACATGGCCTGGCTGTATGTTGCGGTAAGCCGGATACTGCACCGGAGATGCCCCGATGGCCTGACATGGAATATCTACTCAACGGTCGACAAGACAAGCTGTTCTTCGGCGAATGGCCAAAGACTCTCGACGAAGTGGGTAAGAAGATTGATCTCGGACGCGGCTACTCCATTGCCAATAAGGCGAGCAATCGGCGTTCAAAGAAGGACACCTGGGACAACAAGCAACTGCGCCGACTCGACGACCCAACTGTGATCGGAGAACTGTTTTTGAAGCGGATGGGTGCGGAACCCAAATCAACAGCAAAAGCCCACGAATGGGTGATGAAGTTAGTCAGCCTGGTGTGCAAGCCAGAGTCGCAGAAGATCTTGGACAGACAAGAAAACTTACCCCAAGGTACTTACGAAACATCGGAGTTCTTGAAGTCCGTGGAAATGCAACGCAAGCCCTTAGCCTTGCTCGGAGAGATTCGCCAGTGGCTCCTAGCGGATGAAAACGACCTGCACTTCGACTGGTTCGGTATGTTGCATACCTGTACAAACATCTGGAAGACAATCATGCTGGCATTTCGCAAGAATCTTGTGTTTAAAGACGACCCTAACATCTACAACTGGAACGTTAATACTGTAATCACTGTACTCAAGACAGAATCTATCGCACAAGACATGGGTACGCCTATGCCAATCTTTGAGGTGGTTTGGGCAACTTTAAAGCAGTTCATCCAGACCACAGTATCAGAGGAGAGCGGCAGCAAAACATGGAAGGGCGATCTACATTTGGCCAAGCTTGTAGATGTTTGCAATCCTGCGATGACGTTGATGAACCCAGGGCCCGTCAGCTTCATGAATCTCTACGCAAACTGGAGTGATGAAGACAAGAGAGACTCTCGTGTGGGCAGAGCAGTTTGGTATGCGATGCAGGCATTTGGTGCTAGGACCGGGAAGGAGAAGAACAAAAAAGAGGGCGCGAAAGAAGAGACAGATGGTGAAGAGTCAGTCAGCGAGGTATCAGCCGCCGAGGAGCCTGTCAACGAGGAACCAGCCGACAAAGAGCCAGTGAACGATACACCCGCGGATGAGGACGAACCCAGCGAGCACTCAGGCAGCCAAGACGATGAGACGGCTGAAATCGACGAAGCAGCTTCGGATGCTGGTAGTGGCATCAGTATTCAGAAATTCTCTTTGGACCTTAATGCGCTAGCTTGCCAGTACAAGAACGGCGGCAACAATATCATCTTCATGGACAACAAAATGAAAGCGCCGGTAGCCATCAGTCGCGCGCAGATGGGCCAGCTACGTACGGCACCCAATGGAGACTTCGTATTGCCCGGCGGACCCCCAAGCCGGTCTTCTCGAGTACAAATGCTACCCCCACGGCAGTCGAAGCGTGTTTGTGGTGTTGGTGCAATAGCTACGACAGAAGATGCCCCCGATCTGTGTGCTTGCGGTCTCAGTCGGTACGGAGTGAGTGCAAGGCCGATACCGACAATGAACACCAAGGCAGCGAAAGTGGAGCACCAATGTATGGGAGCGCTATTCGAAGGGATCGACGTACCGGACCGTGACCTTGGTGACGCTATCAAGGTAACACGGCGCAAGATTTGAGGTTCGCAAAGTTGGAAAGAAAGAAGGCAGACTCGGAGCTCGTGGCATGGGACCGCGGAGGTAGCATAGCTAGTCAATGTATGTAGTCGACCACGATGTCTTCAGCACCTAGGTTTCCTGCTAGCGTTCGCTCCATGATACAAACAACCTTTTTCGAAACACGCTGTTACAGCAACGGCAGTGACGACATTGCGAACGTACCACGTACTGCTAGGTGCTCGCTGGAGATGCATCGCACCGGGCTTCCAACCTTCGACTTTCCTTGCACCTACAAAGGCTCACGGTAAGCAACCACGAGCACGACCTCAGCGCATACCAGAACGTTCGCCTTGGAAATTTGCAGCAAGGTGCAGATCAAAGCCAATGCAGTTGCACAATAGACGCTGGAAATGAAGTTCTCGCACAAAACCAATACCCGGGTGCGTGTTTTCGCTAACAGAGACATGCCGACGGACGATCAGGTAGGTTACCGCTGCTAATACCCATGGGATTGTTTCCGAAAAGCAATTTGAATGCAGGTTGCACGCGGCGCAGCTTCTCAAGATCATCAGGAACACTTCAATGCGTTGCTTTTGATGGACTATTGTACCATACTTGAACGATTGGGCAACAGCAACCCAGGAAATTGCAAATGGCCTGCGCCACGAAATGACGCTGGAACAACACTCCAAGATACCAGGCGTACAACATAGAGTTTCTGTCTTTACTGGCATTCCATGCGCTCGCTTGTTCAAACTGTCGAAAGGAATGGAAAACGACCTCAAGAGGTCGCTCTTGTCCAACTGTGGTGTCCGGAGAAGGTCGACAAAGCGGGGCGCTTGATGGGCGTCTGCGATGTTACTAATCGTGCGACTACCATATTTGACTACTTTGTTTGGTAATCTCCATACGTCAGTAAGCTAATGTCGACGCCGCACACTCCCTACCGATAGTCGTCACGGCCGGTAAACTTCCAAGATGCGCTCGCATGCATCCGAATCCTCCGGATCAGACGGGCGCATAACTCAACGAGGAAGGTCAGGCCTTCTTCGTGGCGACATGTCGATCGTTGAGCGGAGAGCCAGCATCTGGACCAGAGTGGAGGAAAAGTACCAAGGCTTTCGGCAGTGCTCACGCGTGTCGCTCGTATTACCAGGGAGGCCGGAAAGCGATCAGTTGCTACGATTTCAAATGCCCGTTCGGTAAGAGTTCGCCAACCTGCGTTGTTTGAAACATAGCACGGCATTGTCTCAAACAACCAGACGTTTTCGTCGCAGGAGTGAACCAAAATTGCTGCATGCGCCGGTGATGTGTTGGGAAGCGATGGGTCTTGTCGATAGGCTGTTTATCGATAGCCTTCTGGCGGCTGAAACAGCGGCGTCGTGCGGCAGCGGAAGCCCCGTATTCACCCCTGCTGCCACGACACGCAGCCGAGGGGCGATCCGACCACGAGAAAAACAGCCCCAAGTCATTACAAACGAAAATCAACATGACATCACGCCTCTTGATTCGTTCTTTTGCGTGATGAGGTTGATCTCGGTGTTTTCCGAGATCCACCCAAAATCTTGAGACTTCGATGTCTGGGCTTCGGGAATACGAAATGTACGTATGCAAACTCCATATGAGGTTGAGAATGGCACAGCAGGCTGAGACACCGACAGCTGCGTGACAGAATTAGTACTATGCAATAAGAAGGGGCACAGTTCGTCATCTCTACGCCGTACGTAGGCGCGCAGATGACTACCAATGATAGTGGGTGTGTTCTTCTACACGCCGGGCGAACCCAGTTCGTGACTAAGAAACTAGTTCTTTCGTACCTACATTAGCGTCAGGCACACACTCCACCAGCTGAGCGCCGGCGCACCTCTTTGGTCAGCAGGCCGCCTGTCAGAGACAGCAGAAGCCACCGTGCAAACCCCTCACGGGCGTCGGGAAATGCGGGGCGAAAAGTAAGCGCCTCCGAAATGATGGCCTGGACATTCCGGGCACCTTGGCTGCTTCTGGAATGCTGGGTGGTGAGCATTCTTAAGGGCTGCTGCTCGCCCTTGCAGAGGGATATCCTTCACGCTCACAGCAAGCAAGTCACTCTCTCTTCAGTCATTCATTGACCAGTCATTCATTCTATAGCCCGGTGCTATCAACAAAACACTCATTCTTCTTCACATTCTTTACATATACCCACCAACAAATATACCCACAAAACCGTTATCTCTACGACCAACATCAACTCAACCATGTCTATGTCCAAGATCTTCCAGACTGGCGCTCTTGTAGCTGCACTCATCGCTACCGTGGCCGGCCACACCTCTGTCGAGCAGTTCGAGGCTGGAGGCAAGACCTACCCCGGTTTCCGTCAGGCTTCCAAGCAGGATCCTGGCAACAAGTCGCCTGCTTGGTGGACCAACCAGGGCTGGGGATACCAGCCCATCTACGGTGACAAGCTGAGCCAGTACGTTTATACCAACCCTTGCTCTACTCTTTCGTACACGTACTGACCAAACTCCAGCCCCGACATCATTGCCCACAAGGATGCCTCCCCCTCCCCATACACCGTTGAAGCCCCCGCCGGCCAAGACGTAACCTTCCACTGGCACCACGAGGGCAGCTGCGGCTCCGGAGAGGAGGGCTGGGACTGCTCTCACCACGGCTGGACAGCCACCTACATGGCATCCTGCAACGGCGACTGCAAGAACGTCGACAAGACGAAGCTCGAGTTCTTCAAGATCCACCAAAGCGCCCTCCTCGACTACCGCAAGGGCCGCTACTCCTCCGGCCAAGCCCAAGGCCAGACCGGCTACTGGGGCACCGACGCCATCTTCTACGACAACGGAAACACCCAGAAGGTTACCATCCCTTCTGAGATCCCCAGCGGAAACTACGTCCTCAGGACGGAGGTTGTGTCTATCCACAACAACGGCGATGTTAGCCAGCGCCAGTTCTGGCCTCAGGCTTTCAACATCAAGGTCACTGGCGGTGATGACAGCAAGCAGGTCCCTGCTGGAAAGAAGGGTACTGAGCTGTACAAGTCCAGCGATGAGCTTCTCCAGTGGGACCTCTACTGGCACCAGGCTGGCGAGACCATCGAGGATGCGCCTGGTCCTAAGCTCGCTGCTGTCGCTTCCGTTCAGAAGCGTGCTCACGCTCGTGACTTCTCTGCTTAGGCAAACCTTTTTACACTTTCTACCTCTTCTTCTTCTTTCTCCGTCTGCTTAGGGATGGCTGGTCGCATGCTATACGGGTTAGCTGCGCGGATTACAAAATGGTGTATATGGGCATGGGTTGGGGTTTAGGCTTTCACGGACTGGGACTGGGATTCTTCTTCTTCTTGGGCATCACTTTCGATCGGACTGGGTCTTTCGGTTAGGATGATGCTGCGACGACCTTTTTATGATTCACTTCTTAGATACTCTTAGGCATTACTGCAATGCAATTTTCGAGCACTGCGCTCAACCCCACAATGGCTCTGATCTTCATGGTTTCGTGACGTATTTTTTGTGTTTTTTGTGGCTTGTGCCAGCTAAGTGTCCATCGTGTGTATAACTCGTGACCGTCTGCATTTGCTTGCCCATGTGGATTCCGCTTGACTCGCCAGATCGCAACTTTGCTCCCCTGGTCTCACAAGATGTACACCCTCGTTGGGTTTTCGTAGTGCTCGCTCGGTATCTTCACGCCCTTACGGTCCTGCCATTGCACACCCATAGTCCATGCATGGAGACGCATCATCATCATCCACCAGACATCTTCGTATGAGAACTTCGCAAAGCTGGGTCCGCGACGCTCCATCTTCTCGACGAACTTTGGTACGTTCTCGGCGTATATGTATGCACGTTCGGTAAAGATTGGATCTCGATTATTTGGAAGAGAAGCGCTGTCTCGTGTCTTGTCGTGTCCGTTGCTGATGTTCTCCTCGGCTTGCTGGAGGCTATGAGCGTTGACTTCGATGTGGCAAGGTATAAGGTCCGTATATAGTAGGTCGAAATCTAAGCCCTCAGTGCAGCAGAAAAATTGTGTTGTGGCATCAAAAGCTTGTCGAAAGATTGGCTCTGTGTTCCACAGTCGATAAGACCTCGCGAAGAATTGAGGACTTTGTTTTTCCCAGGAGTCATAAAAGCCTAGCACGTGCTTGCATGGCTCCGAGAGTGTTGTTGCACGCCTTTTGAGCTCGGATCTCCACACGTTACGTGACTCATGTCTTTCGCCCATTGTTGTTAGCGGGAACGGGAACGGGTTATCGATCACGTTTGTTGAGAGGCCATCGATTGGGAGCCATCTGCACCACAGCCCAAGGATATCCGTGAAAGCGGGAAGTCTATGAGCAGGATCCTGATGCGATAAACTTGCTTCCAAAACCTTTTCTCCGTCTGAACATATATTCAGCTCCCATATCGCACGTCTCCAGTTCGCACTTCCAGGCGTTTGCATATTCCTCAGATAAAGGCGTGGTGCGGTGAAAAAGCTTTTGACAGGGAAGGGTACTCCACTGCTGGAAACAATCCCGAAAGTCAACTGACGTTTGTAAGCTAAGACTAACAGTAATAAATCTTGCGGCATCTTGTGAGCTGCGCCTTGTCTCAGACACATATCTCAAAATTCGCTTTGAGCAATACCTTGCATTTGACAAAGTCGTCGGGAAGATGTGGGAAAACAGTGGCAACCCGTTTGATGTCTCATACGTACCTGGTCTGCAACTTTGCTGGGTATACGTTTCATGACGATTTGTTCAGATGCACCCGTGCTGTATTCCACCACCAGTCCCATGCCGCGTACGATAGAGGTAGACAAGCTTCGACCGCCACCGACTGCACGCATTATGCCTTCATCGAGTCGAAAATCTGTCCAGTTCATTTCTAAAGTGTAGGCCATAGTGATCAAACAGCCGAGCGTAGTACTAGCGATCGGTCGTACAATGTCTGGTGGCATAAAATCCCAAGAACGAGTCTTTCCTATGTTCATGGACAATTAGGTAAATCTTATCTTTTACCGACGCCTCTTGGTGATGTCTTACTCGAGATGCAGATCGATGTCAGATCCGTTATATTTCCACGAAACTCTGGTTTCATGAAGCCCCTTTCGTCCCTTCCCTGGACGTCATGAATATCATTCAGTAGATCAAACCATGTAGCTACATCTTCACCTATGTCTACGCGTGTCGAAACTCTTTCTCAGCGTCTGCATCCCGGAACAGTTTGTATTGCAGGAGATTGAATGCTTACCTTCTTTTTCCCGGCGGTTAGGAGGGCAAAAAGTACCAACGCGTGAGGCCCGATCACCCAGCAATGCAGCTGGCTCCGAGCGAGTAATCAGATATCGTGATATCTTTTGCCTGAGAAAGGCGGCATACTTTGGGGGTCGTCCATTTTCGTTCAAATAGAAAGAACGTCGCCATTCACACTCAGTCATTGTGGCGATCTGGAAATGAGGTGTCGCCACCTTGACTTCGTATCGAAACGAGCTCCTTTTCATAGTTAACACACTGGGGATGATGATAGTGGATCTTTTCCACGTTGGACAATTGACCATCTGAATTTCAACTCAACCAGTTTGTACCAGTCTCCAATCACGGAGCGCTGGCATCTACGATACCCATCCGCTGTCGAAAAGAGTTGTGCAATGAGCTGACCAGCCGAGATAACCAAGGCGGAGATCGCGATAGCTAAGGCTGCCGTTGCCACGTCGGTTTCGCTGACCATGCTGCTGTGTATTCGTTGATGAAAGGATGAGGCGTAGGTAGATTTGGAAAACCAAGAGTGAGGTGTCGACAGGACACTGGAGATCCTTCGGGTACTGCTGCATTAATCTATATGCAGCCTATCGCCTCTGCGGACTAACTTCGCCCAATCTCTTTGCGAGCAAGACGTACCCCTGCGATATCGACAGTGTGATACTTGTTCGCGCAGTGCAGGTGAGCTGCTGCGAGCGAACCAATTGCCAGATGCACCGTCGTGCACCCACCTCGGATGATCGAATTATGGAAGATTGCTGGAGACGAAAGAAGTTGCATCGTAACAAACTTTCGATACCTTGTAGGTTATTGCTGTGCCGCATGCAGTGTAAGTTAGCATGGAGAAGGCGCAGACCCAAGCGCCAGCACCCCGCTCCTGCCATCTCATCCCACCTCAGCCCCGCCATTGCATGCGCCGGCTAATACAAGACGCCATAACAGCTTTGGAGCTATGAATCGGACACAAGATACCGTGACTGTTGAGCTGCATGAATCAAAGACCGCTGGACTCGTGCTATGCATGGCTATATAAACGCACGAATCCAATCATTAGCTAATCTTCACCGCGGCAATGGTTTAAGGGTAAAATCCAAGCTTCCCACGCTTCATACGTAGCCTGCTTGGGCTCCGAGTTCGAGTCTCGGTTGCCGCAAACCTCAATGTTTTTTGCTCCTGTAGTTTTCATGAAGTTTGCCGCGCTTTCAAACTTCAGCGCGTCGGAGTAGAAAGGCTTCTCTTTTTGCGCACTGCCGCGACATGACATCCATGGATTAGCGCAGCGCGTAGAAACAGGAAGAACAGAGGGGATTGAGAAGTGACTTGGGAAGTAAGTACCGCAAACAATAATGTGCGATGGGAGTTGAAGACGTGCGTGAGGCTAATGTGGGGTTCAGCAGCCGCCCGTAGCGCTGCGTCATCGCTCCCAAACACGATCCAGCAGCTCTCCAGCAACACCAAGGCACACCCCACCGACCCCTCAACCACCCGATATGGCTTCCAAGATCGAAAAGACCCTTGCGCGACAACGCGAGAAGTAAGTCCAGACCTCGTCACCGCGCAAGGAATTATTGCTAACCCCGCCCAGGATCGCAGAAGGCCAATTCTACGAAGCCCACCAACAACTCCGCGTAATCGCATCCCGTTACACCAAAGCCTCCGATTGGGCATCCGCAACCTCCATCCTACACTCTGGCGCGCTGTCTCTCCTGCAAGCAGGTCAAGGCGGTTCCGGCGGCGACCTATGCATATTCCTCCTCGACGTATACAACAAGGGGGAGGTGAAGGTGGACGCCGAGAGCAAAGGACGACTACTAGGCCTTCTACGCGCGTTTCCCAAGGATGAGCCCACAAAGAAGAAGTTCGTGGGCGAGATGGTAGCATGGAGTAGTCGATTCGGCGATTATCCCGCCGGCGACCCAGAGATACACCATGTCGCTGGAGGACTATACGCTGAAGGTACGCCCATCACACCCCCTACTCTACTCCACATCCCACGACCCGAATCCAAACCAACGATACTAACACACCAACCCCCACAGACCTCGAACCCTACGAAGCAGAACGTCACCTCCTCCTCGGCACCCAAGACTCCGCCTCAACCCTCTCCTCCCTCCACTACTCCTGGTACACCTCCGACGCACCCCACACCGCACCCCTCTACCTCGCCCGCGGCACCCTCCCCTACCTGCTCACAGGAAACCTGCGCGCCGCAAACAAACACTACCTCCTCTTCACCTCGTCCCTGCAACGCGCGCCGAACCCGCCCACGCAGCCCGTCTCTACAAAAGCCTCCGACTTCACCGTGTACCCTTCGTTACCGCTGTTGAATTTCTTGGGGCTACTGCTTCTGAGTGTGGAGCGCGGGGATCCGAGTTTGTGGCGGCAGTTGAAGAGCCATTATGCGGGGGATCTGAAGGATGTGAATTGGGGGGAGGCGTTGGATCAGGTGGGCGAGATGTATTTTGGGATTAAGATTCCGAGGCAGGGGAACCCGATGTTTGATATGCTTGGGAGTATGTTTGGGGGTGGGATGGGGGGTGGTGGTGCGCCGGCGAAGAAGGCTGTGGGTGGGAGGCCGCCGGCTGCTGGGCTGGATTGAGCAGATTGTACAGATACGGGGTGCTAGATGGAGAGGCTCTGCGCTTGCATTGCCTATATGGGATGTGTTGCAGAGGCGGAGGGAAAGCTTTCCAGAACTAGGCACGAGATACAGCAGAAGAGATACCATTTCACGAGACGAGGTCAAAATCTGGAAGCGATTGATGTGTTCATTCAGTCATCTCAAAGCTTGTAAGCTTTTGTCTATACCTACCATGTCCATCAAATACGTTCTTCCTTCTTGCATCCAGGCGACCACCTTACATAGGCACAGTCTTCTCCTTGAACACAACGCCATACTGGTCCTCAAGCGTCTTCATCAACGGGCGGCAGATCTCAGGACTCATAGGAGCAAGGATACCCTTCTCACTCAGCGTACCATCAAGCACCTGCTGCACCGCAACCGCGCAAGGAACACCAACAAGCTTAGCCATAGCGGAGTAACCCTTAGGGTCACCGTAGTCAGCCAATGTGCAAGTGCGAACAGCCTTGCTGCCGTCCTTGTTCTCAATCTCGAACCTGTGCTGCAGCATGACCATATCGCGCTCGTCGTTCTCGTACTGCATCTTCTTCTCGAGGGTAGCGCACAGGGTGTCAAGCGGGTTACCGCGAGCCTCGATCTGCTCGTCGGAGATGAGTCCGATCCAGCGGAGACCAGTGATGATGCGGTCCTTCTCTTCTGTGCTGGCGAACTTTGTCCGCGAAGAAATGGCCCAGATGAGGTCTTCGTCCTTGTCGCTGCTGGCGCCAATGATCTTGGCGGTTGCGTCGCGCCAGGTGCGCTTCTCGCCTTCCTTGAGGAAGTCCTTGGGGTCTTCCGAGAGGAAGCCAATGTCGACGAGGCACTTGATGTATTCTGGGAAACCTTGGTAGCGCAGGGTGCCGCGGATGATGGTCTGGCACTCGGGGATGTTGTAGCGCTCCTTGTAGGGTGTGGAGTCGCGGTTGGGGTATGCGACGAAGGCGTAGCCGGGGTAGATGAAGTAGGGCTTTGCCTCGGCCATCAGCTCGGGGCCCTCGACTGACTTGACCTTGCCGTCTTGGTAGAAGGCAGCCTGGTTTCGGAGCGCGAGGAGTACACCGCGGGACGACCAGGAGAACTTGTAGCCGAGCGGGTTGTCTGAGCACTCTGGTGCGGGGAGACCGCCGCAGTATGACTTGAAGGAGAGGATCTTGCCACTGGCCTTGTGCACCTCGTCGATGGTGAGGACGGCGGAGAGATGGTCGACACCGGGGTCGACACCGATCTCGTTCATGACGGTGATGCCGGCCTCCTTGGCTTGGGCGTCGAGCTCCATCATCGCGGGCGAGACGTATGAGGTTGTGACGACGTTCTTCTTCTTGCGGATCGCCGACTTGATGACCGTCGCGTGGTATGTGTAGGGGATGAGGGAGATGACGACGTCGACCTTGGCGACTTCGGCGTCGAGGGCGTCGGCATCGTTGACATCGAGCTGGGCGTTGTTAGCAGGGAGCTATATATGTGTGGAGTATATGCTCGTACGCTGATGGCGTTGGTGTTGGGGATGCCCTTAGCCAGGTCCTGAGCCTTCTGGAGGGTACGGCATGCTACTGTGACCTTGACGCCGGACTTCGCGAGCACGTCAACAGTTGGGCGTGTACTGTAACTGTCAGTTTGCTGTAAATTGAGATGGTTGATAGATGACTTACACGAAACCAGCACCGAGCAAGAGAGCGGTCCTATCACCAATTAGCCAAATCCCACCACATCAATCCCAAATGAGCACCTACTTTCCGCTGTATGCTCCAGCAGCCGCCCCGCTGACGTTGCCCATAAGGTTCTGTACTTTGTCTGCATCATCAATTAGCCAGATTCTCCTGCGTCCATACTCTTGACTTACTGGTGATGGCCTCCATGATGTGTGATTTGGATGTAATTGCCAAGATGTGAAAAAGTTTGGGGCGAGATTATATCTTTGGCGTTGACTCCGGATCGGAATAGAGAGAAATCGGCGGGGTTACTCCGTCATCGCTCCTGAAAGTGGGGCATGCGCGGCGCGTCACGCTGGAGATCTTGGGCTTTGGCAAACCGATGGATGCTCCGAACTCAACCACATCTTGGGCAAACCACCTGGTAATACGCGTGCAGGACTGTGTATAGACTCCTGGCATTACCGTGGTTCAAGTTCACTGTTGCCTGGGCGCATTCTTTAGGAGTATATCGCGATGTACAGCGCGATAACGATCAACACGGTCAATTGCAAATTTCATCTTGCTAAGCAGCGTCCGGAATCTATATGAGCATTATGCACGATTATTGCAGTGCATCTGTCTTATGAGCCAGTTCTTCATCCCAATTCGACTTAGAGAAGATGGGACTGGATTGCAGAACATCTGGTCTGGGGCATCTCGAAAAGGGAAGTGGGTCAGCGAGCCGCGCCAAGTCAGCTAGGTCGTATTTCCACTAGCACGGTTTCCGCGGACTTGCCAGGTACGCGTTTCATATGCGACGACGACGAGCACCACCATCCACAACTTTGGACCAGAACTAAACATAGCAACTTTTACTGTGACCTACTATTTCGCTTACAACAGAAGTGTTTTGCAACCACACACGACAACCAGAACCAGGCAACCGCCATCATGCCCTCAGCCGTGGACCCTGATGATGACCTGTGGGTGGCCATCAAACAAGTAGATAAACCCATATGAGTGTGCGCATATTATGTGTACTGACAGAAACAGATATCCCAGTCATCCGTGGGCTCAGACTATATCGACCAGCTGATCCCCATCATGAAAGACGCACGCTACTCAAATCAACTGCAAATCACATTCGATCGCTATGCCAACGATCGCGAGAGTGAGATTGAGCGCATATGCAATGCGAATCATCAAGACTTCGTTAGCTCGGTCGACTCACTACTGAGGATACGCGACCAGACCGTACAGATGAGTGGTGAGATCTTGCAGCTTAACGAGTCGATCCAAGAAAGTATCGAGAAGCTAGCGGAGCAGAAGAAGGCGCTGGTTGATTCGCGAGGCGTGCGCCAAAATATTGATGAAGCGTCGCAAGCGCTGAACGCGTGTCTAAACGTATTGCGCATTGCCAACTCGGTTCAGGACATGCTGAGGGAAAAGAACTACTACGCGGCGTTAAGAGCTTTGGATGAGTTGCAGACGATTCATTTGAAGGAGATCAATCGGTTCAAGATCGCGAATGTGATCGAGAAATCTATACCGCAGACCCAAGAGCAGATCAGAGAAGCAGTCAAGAACGACCTGAGTACGTGGCTTTACCGGATCCGCGAGTCGGCGCAATTTTTGGGCGAGGTTTCATTCTACTACACCGACGTACGGAGAACGCGCAACCAAGAACGCGCCGAAGCCGACACACGTTTTTCAAAGTTCAAACTGAACTCAGCAATAGAACTCGTGGCCGACGAGACCGATGAGTTTGACGTGCTGAACAACGAAGAAGCTGGAAACGAGACGGACTTCTCACCCTTGTTTGAAGCTATGCACATCAACGAGACGCTCGGCAAGAGCGAGCAGTTCCGAGCGGAGTACGCATCAGATCGGCGGACGCAGAAGGATTTGATCATACCGAACAAGCTCGACCTATTGGATGAGGAGTGTAGTGACTTGAGCAGCTTGCTGGAGAGTATCGCGGGATATGCGATTATCGAGAAGGCTACCATGTCTAAAACGCTCAATCTACGGTCGCAGGCTGATGTGCGTAACATTCTCTTATTCACGCAGAGCACTGCTAACAAGAGTACAGGTGGACGAGCTATGGGACTCGATGTGTCAAAGCGCGATCAATCTCATCACGAGCCAGCTTCATACCGTTGAGAACGATGAACTGCTCCTGAAGATCAAGGGTCGCATAGCGCTCTTCATGCTGACTATGGAGGTCCGTCACTCATTCACAACTCCGCTAGTCCCTCTACTGACTGCCATAGAAATGGGGCTACTCCGTCTCCGCAATGAACGACCTCCTCCTCACCCTCTTCTCCAAGTACTCCTCCCTTCTCAAAGCCCGCTTCAGCGAAGACTTCAGCGAGATCGTGCATACAGACGACTACATGCCCATGCCCATCAACTCGAGCGAGGAGTACGATAAGGTCGTCTCGGTATCCTGGTACAATCCTCCGGCGTCCAACGAACCCCTCACCTTCCCCTGCGTATTACCCTTTTCGCAGATGTATCCGCTATGCTGCATCGATATCCGGAATTTCCTCAATCAGATCTACTTGTTCAGCGACGACTATTTCCAGAAGAGCAGTGTTATCGATGAAACGCTGAGGCAGAGTCTGGATGAGCTGTTGTGTGAGAAGGTCTGCGGGAGCTTGATCGAGAGGCTGAGTAGTCAGTATCCTGGGCAGATTGTGCAGATCTTGACGAATTTGGAGCACTTCGAGAACGCCTGTGTCGAGCTACAAGACCTGCTCTTTGAAGCTCGTTCCTCGCCATCAGCAACAGGTCCTGTTGTTCTCGCAGCAACTGATCGTTTCGCCAAAGCCAAGAATACCGCCTCCAACCGCGTCTTCGAGCTCGTAAACAGCAAGATCGACGACTTGATCGAAACAGCAGAGTACGACTGGATGGCCACCAAGCCCGAGACGGAACCATCGACGTACATGTTAGAGCTGACTAGATATCTCTCCAACATAATGTCCTCGGTCCTTCTCGCCTTGCCCACAGAAATCAAAGAGTTCATCTACTTCGACGCCTTATCGCACGCGTCCACCGCTATCCTCGATCTCCCTCTCGCCCAACACATCAAGCGTATTTCCCCCGCCGCCGTCGCAACTCTCGCCAACGACACCGCGTTCCTCAGCCAATTCGTCAGCTCGCTCAACAACCCCATCTTGATGGAGAACCTAGACGAATTGACACAAACAGTCGCACTGATGGGCACAGACGACTCCCTGGAGTTCTTCGACATCGCGCAGAGGAACAAGAAGTACAGCAAGGTAGACCAGATGAAGGGCGCTATCTTATTGGAGAAGGTACAAGAAGGGGCGCAAGTCGCGG